ATTATTATTATTATTATTTGCTTATGTTATGTTTCCTGCTGTAGATTCGGGTCCAGACTATGGTCCTTACGCCCTATAGGAGAATAGTCACTTAATTGATAGTATATGGTATATGGGATATTTCTAGTAGGGCGATTTTCTGGGCAACTTGTATGTTGATGTTACCTTAGTCACACTTAGTAAAATTGTCCAGCCCTTTCCCAAGAAGCCCAGAGCTCCGATTACTATCGGTACAGTCTCAGTCTTTATTCCCCACATCCTGTTAATCTCGATCTCCAGTTCCTTGTATTTGGACAATTTCTCGATAATTTTCCTGAAGGTGTTTCTCTCAGATGGTACTGCTATTTCAATAGGCATTCACAACCTGGATTTATTGTCTTCATTATTATTATTATTATTATTATTATTTCCTATGATTTCTGACGTTTGCACATTTCTTTCCGGGTCCCGCCAAGAAAACTAAGGTTAGAAATGGCATCATGACGTTTTCCTCTGACAAAAAAAAAAAAAAAATTACATAGATGAAGCCCTTCGTAAAGTGTGGGTTGTACTTGTGAGAAAATTTTTTTGTATCTCTTTGAGGCATGGACTTCCAGGAATCCCTTCAATTAGTCTACTGCAAACTTTTCCAACCAGTCCTAGGGCTCCAACTACAACAGGGATTGTTGATGTTCCCATATGCCACATTTTCGAGATTTCTATTTCAAGGTCCTTGTATTTTGACAGCTTTTTGAATATCTTCAAAGATACATTGCAGTTTGCAGAGACTGCCATATCAATTAAGAGGCACTTTTTTTGTTTGTGGTCTCTAATAACAATATCTGGGCCGTTGGCCTTGATTGTTCTGTCAGTGTGTATTGTGTAGTCCCATAGAATTGTAACAGGTCCTATCTCCGTAACCGGGTTTGGGTGGTGTTCATACCAGTTTCTTTCAGTTTCCTTCCCGTAGAAGTTGCAAATTTTCCAGTGCAGATATTGGCTCACTCTGTCATGCTGGGTTTTATATTCGGTGGGTGCCAATATCATGCAACCTGATACAAGATGATCAATTGTTTCTGGATATTTATCACAGAATCAGCATTTTGATTTAACACAATTTTTTCGTATGAGTGCTTGATAATTCCTACTTAACAAGCATTGGTCCTGTGCAGCAAGGATAAAACCTTCAGTTTCAGCTTCCAACCCCGCACTTACGTAGCCACTGATGGGTACGGGTTTTGTCTATTATTATTATTATTAATATTAATAATAATAATAATAATAATAATAATAATAATAATAATAATATTTGTGTATGTTGTGTATCCTGCTTTGTGTCCTGTAGAACCGGGTCCAAACTATGGTTCTTAGGCCCCTATAAGAGAATTGTCATTTAATTGATAGTATTTTCTTAGTATATGGGATGTTTCTAGAAGGGCGATCTTCCGGACTACTTGTATGTCGATGTTATATGAAACTCTATTAGTAAAATTGTCCATTAATTTGGCACAATGCCCAGAGATTACGTCTGCATCACCCACTTCTTTGAAATTCGATCTCCAGGCCCTTGTATTTGAACAATTTCCCGATAATTTTCATGAAGGTGTTTATCTCGGGTGGGTACTGCTATGTCAGTAAGCAAACATTTCCTGAATTTCTTGTCTTTTAAGATACTATCAGGCCTGCTGGCTTTTTTTTTCTTATCCGCTTGAATTGTCATGTCCCAGAGGATATTTACAGCGTTATTTTTGGTAACTATTATTGTTATTATTAATATTATAATTATTATTATGCCACTGATAGTACCTAAAGGATTTTTACTTGAAGTAGTATATAACAAAATGTCTCATGCATATTGTACTTTTCGTCATCACAATCAATCTTATGAGCGTACATCACGCTCATGCATAACAGCCAAATGTGTGCGATATGGTGAAAGAGTTTGTTAAAATCAGAGCATGACCTTGCAGGTAGGGAGAGATTGAAAAACACTTTCATGTGTAACTGTTGTGTATGATACACCTAATTTACATAAGTGGTTAACCGACCATATAAATATGGGTTGGTACCGGAAGACGACGGAAGATTAAGAGATCGAATCCAGAGACTCTGCCCGACTGCGACTTAGTCAACCCATTCTGCAGGAACAGTCTTCCCAAGAATATACCAAAACTACCTGTAAATATTGTGTACCTTTTTTCATTGTTTCAATACATTTTGTTACGTACATTTTGTGTTGTATTATTATTATGCCATGCTTATTCAAGCTTCAACAGTAACCTGAAGCTGAGATGGTCCCCGATTGAGAATGTTCTCAAGTATTTAGATGTCACTTCCAAATCACCTTGGCTACCTCGCCCTTTCGAAGTTATGACGTCTTTCAAGACCTAGATAAAATGCTCCCCCCCACCTGCTACTCGCGTTCACCGACAGAGACACACAACGCATCAGACCTGAAAGTGACGTGTTCAACGTTAAGGTCAGTCAAGTGATAAGCAAATCTGTGGTAGTAAACGGGATATTTTACTGTCGCGCATCTTAAGGCAAAACATGTTTATGTTAACAGCTCCAGTCGATTAAGATGGGAAGCCATGAGAGATTGGTGTCCCTAGCGTTTATCTATTCACTTTGATAATTATTCTTTGAGGTTCACCACCCACTATCTAATAGGCGGGGATCAGGTGAGGGTAAGATTTCCCAGCACTTTCCCCAGTATTCTTTTGGGGTTTTTTTGTTTTTAGTAAAGCTGCCGTCTGTAAGTTAACAACAACAACAATAATAATAATAATAATAATAATAATAATAATAATAAGAAGAAGAAGAAGAAGAAGAAGGACTTCTTAATTAGGACAATAGTAATAATGTTTTTTTCTAAAACAGCAGTAACTGATGCATTCCAAAAGCTAGTCATGTGACAGCAAGACGCTTCAACACTTCTGAATTTTTGTTTATATGCCTAGTTTATATTATTAATACTGTTGTCTAGAATATATTATTATTATTATTATTATTATTTGTTGAGTTTTCCACTGCTACAATGTAACGGAGATCAAGACAATACAAACTCCTCAATTTTATCCTGTAGTCTTGCATTCTCCTCTGTATTCATATTTAGATTAGGCTGTCATTTCTATGGTGCCATTATTATTATTATTATTATTAGTTTTCCGCAAGACAGATCAAGAGACGTTAAAAGACAAATCTTTTTGTATCATAAAATTCAGACAAAAGAGGTGCGAAGCAATAAGAGAGAGATAATGTACAACTGTGGTCAGTGCACGAGGAAAAATCTCCGACAGATAAGAGGAGTAACCATGAATATGATTTTTAGCATTTCGCATATTTTTGGGGTACCGAAAATTTGATTCACATATAGCAAGAGACAATGCTGTTATGTTGAAATACTACATTCCACTGATATTTCTATTATTATTATTATTATTATTATTATTAATTGATTTTTTAATACAGTAGTCACTTGTGGCTTTCACAAACTGACCATGCGACAACAAGTCACTCCATCAGTCTAGCATTTGGCTGTATTATACATACTGTTATTAGTAACAATGTCACCCGGATTATTATTAGTAATAATAATAATTGATTTTTTTTAACACAGTAGTAACTGGTGGCTCTCACAAAATGATCATGCGACAACAAGTCGTTTCAGTACTTCAGCATTCTCTTGCTTTTATTAGTAACAACGTCGTCTGTATTATTATTATTATTATTATTATTATTATTATTATTATTATTATTATTATATTGTGAAGACGATAAACCCAACGTTATTATTGGCTTGTATTGTTATAACCTCTGTGAATTTTTGTCCTTGCTTTCTCCATCATTCTTATCCGTTATTCTGTGTCTTTTAGGTAAGAAACTGGTTCTTTTATGTAAATATTTCGACTTTCTGATTGGAGATTCTTTTCATGAATATTTTTTTCTTTATCTTTTGAATATTCTAGCATTTCTTCAGTTTCGACAACCTTTTCGCATGTTTCTGGCTTTTCTTGTATAATTTTCTGTGATCAAATTTGATTCTGTTTTCTTTATATTTTCTTCTTCTTCTTCTTCTTCTTCTTCTTATTCTTCTTCTTCTTCTTCTTATTCTTCTTCTTCTTATTCTTCTTCTTCTTCTTCTTATTTCTACTCATTCGTTTATCACACCAGTAGCGAACAGGTGATAGTTAAACTCGCCTCAATAATCCGCCACTCTCAGTCTTATTTGAACTGTTTTTCAGTAATGCCATTTGCATTGGCGCACTAGCGCTCTTTCGCGGTCATCGCTGAGAAGTGGGTGACAGCAAATCTCAGATTTCCATCGATCTCTTTTCTACTTTCAGAGATGACGATGCTATTGCTGCGGTCTGTATTTTAGGAACGCTTTTTCCAAACTCCACCTCCTTTCAGCACGATTGCTTTCGTCGTTAGAACCAATTCCAGTCCACCATTGTTCATGTATCTGCAGATTCGCCCTGGGTATCTGATTATTGTCACTGGAAATCGGCTAACAGCAACTTAAATCAGAAGAATGTCATTATTATTATTATTATTATTATTATCAATATCATCATCATTATTATCATTATTATTATTTTTATTTTCTTTGATTTCTGGCTTTACACATTTCTTTATCATTACTATTTTCATCATCATTATCATCATCATTATCATTATTATCATCATCATTATCATCATTATCATCATCATCATTATCATCATCATCATAATCATTATTATTATTATTAATATTATTAATATTATCGAGTTAAAGACTGGCTACCTATTAAAATGAAACTGGAGTAAAAAATACACGAAGCCCATTAAACTTGCAATATTATCATTATTATTATTATTATTAATATTTCATAATAATGTTCATGTTTACACCGGATCTGTAATGGTTATTGAAATCTCCGGTATCAGCCTCTGCATTCTTGCCGAACCTCAGCAAATGCATTCCTCAGCTGTTTAAATAAATTCAAAACTGATCCCAGCATTTACTGACACGCGACCAAATGCACCTATTATTACTGGCAACACCGTTAATCATTATTGCCCATACGTTTCTCAGCTCCCGAACGGGGTCCTCGTATTATATAGTTTTCTCATTCTTCTTCATGGTCACTATGAGGTGAGTTGGCACAGCCAAGTCCACCATCTTGATGTATCATTTTTCATTTTGCACTTGCTGAGTTTCTCAAAAGCAATAATAATAATAATAATAATAATAATAATAATAATTATCATTATTATTATTATTATTATTATTATTATAACGGATAGTTCCAAAATGAGCAACATCACCATCATATTACGCACGTTTCCATTGCATGCCTTCATGCTGACGGCGTTTCATTCGTTTTGACGCGTTGATTACCAGTACAACCGTTTTTTGTTTGTTTTTTTTATTATAAGGCAAACAACATTTGTACCAAGACTTATAACTTTTTTGTAGATTCATATAGTTTTATACTTGAAAAACATTTTTAAATATAATTTGAATAGACAGGCGTACTGTCGAAATATTGCTTAACATTGTCAAACACTGTGTCTTTTTTTTCCTTTTCTTTTCTTAAATCACGCTCATCCCTTAAGTATAAGTATTATTACTCCTTTATTCATTAACTTTAAAAACCATTGCACTTGGAATTAAGTCACTCCATTACACAACCTACTTAGCATTTTGTTTATGTTATTATTATTATTATTATTATTATATGCTTTTTGATACAACTCTTCCAAACTCTATCACCCAAGACGTAAAGTAAAAGAAAATTTTTCTTTGGAAATTATTGAAATGGTTATATCACACTTTGTGAGTTGTGCTAATTAACACTGTTTTTTGCCTTAGCGAATATTATTATTATTATTATTATTATTATTTGTCATTCGAATATACCAGTAACAATCACCAGTAGTATCATGAGGTTTTCATTGGGGACTATGTGACAACAAGTCTTGTCAATACGACAAATCTCCCTTCCGTATTCTAGCAGTATTTAGTGCGAGGTCTTTTTCGATTCTAAGCCTGTTCTTTGGTACTTTCAGTCACTTTTCTTAATCTCACCAAGTTTGTCCTTAGTGCTTCGATAAAAATAATTGGTACAAGTGTCACCTTCAAGTTTCCCAACTTCTTCCGTTCTCTGGCAAGGACGAGGTACTTGGCTGGCGTTCCGATGTCTTTCAGATCTACTTTCTGGACTGCGGGAACAACGAAATCCATCATCTGACACACATTTTTTTTCCTTTGTGTTTACAAACCGTTCGTCTGGCCTAGATTTTGAGTTAATCCGTTTCAATCTGAAGGTCCAAGACGATATTTTTTTAATGTATTTCATTTTTTAGGAGAGAATTCAGATTTTGGAAATATCGTTGTACTCTATCAAAATGCAGTAGCTTGCACAGTTCACAGGTGATCATATTCTGTACCCATTCATGTCTACTCTTGTATTCTTTGTGAAATAATTTAATACATTCGCTGGTTAAGTTTCATATTCAATTCCACACGGTTTGCACTTACTGTTTACAAATGCCTTTTACGTGTCTTGACTACTATATTGTGAGGTCGTACAGCATTGATTTGGAATGCTATCATTATTATTATTATTATTATTATTATTATTATTATTATTATTTTCTTTGATTTCTGGCGTTTACACATTTCTTTCCGGGTCCCACCCATGGACCTAAGGTTAGAAATGGCATCATGACACTTCCCACTTACAAAAAAAAAAAAAAAAAAAAAATTACATAGATAAAGCCCTTCGTAAAGTGTGGGCTGTACTTGTCAGAACAATTTTTTGTATCTCCTTGAGACATGGACATACAGGAATCCCTTCAATTAGTCTACTGCAATCTTTTTCAACCAGTCCTAGGGCTCCAACTACAACAGGGATTGTTGATGTTCCCATATGCCACATTTTCGAGATTTCTATTTCAAAGGTCCTTGTATTTTTGACAGCTTTTTTGAATATCTTCAAAGATACATTGCAGTCAGCAGGGACTGCCATATCAATAAGGAGGCACCGTTTTTGTTTGTGGTCTTTAATAACAATATTCAAGTGGTTGGCCTTGTTTGTTCTGTCAGTGTATTATTATTATTATTATTATTATTATTATTATTATTTGCTTTCTGATCAGCGAAATCCATTGGGATCATTGCCCGAAACCTAGTGCAATTCAAGTTATATATATATATATATATATATATATATATATATATATATATATATATATATATAAGCATTCTGTTTGCACGAATTCTGATGCTATATGATAGCGTTTATATTTATTTTAATTGAACATTAAACTCACCTGATTTGATAAGCAGTTGAAAAAATTGCTGTTTTTAAAAAGAAAAAAGGGTTAGCAGATAACTTCTTACAGTACTTGTCAGTTCCTTTCTTGATCGTGCTCAGTGCTCCATGTATTATGGGTATAACTGTAGTGTTAATGTACCAGTTTCAACTACAAGATCTTTATATTTATTTATTTTGCCATCTTATTTAACAGATATATTTTCAGCCGGTGGAACTGCCATTTTGTAGTCTTTAATTAAAATGCCTAGTTTGTAAATGCTATTATTTCTTTTTAAATTTATTTCCTTTGATTTCTAGTGTATACTCATTTCTTTACGGGTCCCAAACAGAGACCTAAGCTCAGAAATAACATTTTCTGATGAGCATTTTTGGAGATTATTATTATTATTATTATTATTATTATTATTATTATTATTATCGAGACTTGGGGAGGAGCGCGATTTAAGAAAAGAAAAAGAAGAGATAATTATTTATGTGCGTTTTATTTTTTTTTTTTTACAGTTTTATATTTGTATATAATTTTGAAAACAAATGTTGTAGAAGACAGACATACTGTCGAAATATCATTGAACATTCTCAAAACACTGAATCGTTTTTTTTCTTTGACTTTTTCTTAAAACCCACCTCCCTGTAATTTCTGCAAAATATTGGGACAGTTACGTCAGACATTTGTATTATTATTATTATTATTATTATTATTATTATTATTAGGAACAACAAGTACAATAATATTAATTGGATCAAGACGAGGTATGAACCACTTCTCCAAGAGGCTAATATTTAATAACAATAATAGCGCTTCTTTCTCTTCATCTTCTTCTTCTTCTTCTTCTTCTTCCCCTTATTATTATTATTATTAGCAACAACAACAACAAAAACAATAATATTAATTGGATCAAGAAGAGGTTTGAACCACTTCTGCAAGAGGCTAATATTTAATAACAATAATAGAATTTCTTCCTCCTTTTTTTCTTCTTCTTCTTTTTATTGTTGTTGTTATTATCATTATTATTATTATTAGTAGTAGTAGTAGTAGCATTATTATTATTATTATTAGCAACAGCGAAAACATCAAGTACAATAATATTAATCTGGATCAGGAAGAGTTTGAACCACTTCTCCAAGAAGCTAATAATATTCAATAACAATAATAGCCCTTTTTCCTCTTTTTCTTTTCTTCTTCTTCTTTTTCTTCTTCTTCTTCTTCTCATTATTATTATTAATAGTAGTAGTAATAGTAGTAGAAATAGTAGTAGCAGTCCTAGAACTAATCGTATTTATTGTTGTTGTTGTTGTTGATTCAACGTCAGTCGGTGTTAGGCAAAGACGGGGGTGGTAATGGTGGCTTTATTAATGGTTATGATGCGTCAACTGTGTTGTATCTGCCACGAGGTGACGTTATTTCATTTTACACAGTCTTACCTACATTGTATAATCGCATTAGTTCATACTCAAGTACTTATCTTCCGTGTGTGTAATACATAGCTCAGCAGATGTGCATGTATGTAGGTCTGTGTGTACGCACGTATGCATGTACATGAAGGTATGCATAGACTTCCCTTGGAAGAGTAGCAGCTATGGCATCACCACTTGTTCAGTTACCACTACATTTTCCTATACGAGGGTGAGGGTTGGGGGGGGGGATCTGACAATACTTAGCGCCCACCCCACTGGAAAAAAAATCAGTCTATGAAAGAACGAACGTCAGGAATTTAATTTTAAGAAGTGGGTCAGGCCGACAACTTTTCAGCATTGCTTATCTACCTATCTATCTATCTATCTATCTATCTATCTCAGTGTTCAAGTCTATCTGGTGTCAGTTCTTATCTGTCTATCTATATCAAGTTGTTCGTATCTATCTATCTGTATTCATTTGTTCGGATCTATCTATCAATCTATCTAATGTCAGTTCATATCTATCTATCTATCTATCTATCTATCTATCTATCTATCTAAGGTTGTTCATATCTATTTATCAATTTATCTAATGTCAGTTCATATCTATCTATCTATCTATCTATCTATCTCAGGTTGTTCACATCTATCTATCAATCTACCTAATGTTAGTTCATATCTATCTATCTATCGACCTAATGTTAGTTCATATCTATCTATCTATCTATCTATCTATCTATCTATCTATCTATCTATCTATCTCAGGTTGTTCATATCTATCTATCAATCTACCTAATGTTAGTTCATATCTATCTATCTCAGGTTGTTCATATCTATCTATCAATCTACCTAATGTTAGTTCATATCTATCTATCTCAGGTTGTTCATATCTATCTATCAATCTACCTAATGTTAGTTCATATCTATCTATCTATCTATCTATCTATCTATCTATCTATCTATCTATCTAAGGTTGTTCATATCTATTTATCAATTGATCTAATGTCAGTTCATATCTATCTATCTATCTATCTATCTATCTATCTATCTATCTATCTATCTAAGGTTGTTCATATCTATTTATCAATTTATCTAATGTCAGTTCATATCTATCTATCTATCTATCTATCTATCTATCTCAGGTTGTTCACATCTATCTATCAATCTACCTAATGTTAGTTCATATCTATCTATCTATCGACCTAATGTTAGTTCATATCTATCTATCTATCGACCTAATGTTAGTTCATATCTATCTATCTATCTATCTATCTATCTATCTATCTCAGGTTGTTCATATC